TAAACTTCACCTACACATTTTCTATCAGAGTTCTAATCTCTGAAGACACTTCTAAGAGTTAATATTAATCCTTATGGTCATAGTCTACACTAATTATTCAAAAACTGATTGTCTATTATACAAGATCTGATTTATTAATTTAATTCTCCAGATCCAAACTGAAGATATTAATAAGCGATCTATTACACACAATGTAGACAGTAAGCAAGTTGTAAAATCTGCTTATAAGAAATGATGAAGAATTTCAGGACTTTAACAATGTCTTTCTTTTCCATCTATTCGAATTTTTATATTACCTCAAAGCATCTTCAGGGAATTAGGCCCTGGTCAGCCTCTTAACTGCAGTGTAATTTTTGTTAATTTTTCTAGCTGAGATATATTAACCCTGAAATAGACACAGAAATATACACAGACAAGGCTGCCTGTTGCCTCCAAGCCTCAAAGAAATTCCCCAAAGAGCAAAAGGAAAAGCCTTCCAAAGACCATGTCAGAGGTAGGCTGTTCCTCCAGGATGGGAAAAATGGAAGCACCTTGAGTTGGGCCTACTGCCACTCCAGAGTCTGGCCAAGTGGTGAATAACACAGAATTGGAGGAGGAAGGGAAAAGAATGAAAGCCAGAGTAGCAGCAAATAGATTGCTCTCCATCTAGGATGGCTTTAAAACATATCTTGCTTACCAGATAACATATTTAAAACATTTAAACATATTTAAAACATATCTTGCTTACCACATTGCCTTAAAGAAACTAAAATCCTAAATCCTAAACTAAAATTCAGTGCAAATCAATCCCTTTCTAGATAAATCATTCCACTAGACACCAAAAACGATATGTAGTGATAGACTAGCTTGCTTCAGATTGACCAAAGAAATGTAATATATTGCAAGCTAGTTTTGTTATGTGTGGTGTTCTCATCAAATTAAGGTTTACATGGGATTTAGAAGTAATGAAAAAAATTAAAACTGACTCAAAAGGCTGGATGCTGTGCTGCATAATAGTTTTCATTACAATGTTTAGCTCTAAAGTGAGCAACAAGACATTCTGGGAGAGGTATAAATCTCAAGTGTTAAACGTTTCAGAAAAAGGAGCACATTCGTTAGAGCTTCATAATGAAACTTCTTTACCAAAAACAAAGAAGTCATAAACTAAGGAACCGGAGAGCAACATGCTCTATCTTCCACATCAGATCTTTTCTGCAGGCCGACTGGGACCTAAAAAGTAGGTAAAGAACTACTAAGAGTGTTGTATACTGGCTAGAAGCCTAGACTCCAAGGGCCATCTGTTCAAATCTCAGCTTTTAGCTGTGTGACCATGGGCAAGTTAATCTCTCTGTGCCTCAGTTTCCTCATCTATTGGGTGGTGGGGATCGAGTTTGTCCTGTAAGACACATAGGTTGATGTCAGGCATGTAAGAGGTTTACAGAGTGCTTATTCTGTCTACCTGTTTGGGGATTCAGTGGTTCTCCAAAACTAAATCAGCAAAAAAGTGCTTTCTTCCTGAATCAGAAATCCAGTCCTAAAAAATCTGAGAATGTCAACTTTGAGCCTAAAAAAATCCACCTTCCAAATCCTCTCCCCTTGCACACAAAACAGAAAACAGACAAGAGCCTTCTCTTCCAGCAGCCACTGTCATTTTTCATCAAACACATTCTGCTCTATCCAGAACTTAAGCCCCCTTAGGAGGACTAAGGCTGGATATTAAAATATTGGAATTAACTTTGCTTAAGATTTCCCAGTAACTGAATGAGTCACTCACTTCTTTAGAAACAGTAAAATGTCAAGGTTGCCAGAGAACCCCAGCCCCAGATGTTTGCATAAATCATTTCCAAGTGATCATCAAGTCAAAGCCAAAGGACATTATTCAAGATAACAGCTTAAGTAAAATATATCAGCTTTTATGATTTTACCTGTAATGAGGAAAATTCTGAAAATGTGATATGGGGTGGGGGAGGGAATCACAGCAAGTTTAGTGGCCAAATTATACATGTTAGGCAGGGCTTAGACGTCCTTTTCCTATGGCTTCAGAGGGTTTGCCCCATTTTAAACTTTTACTCAATCTCAGGAAGGCACTGGACAAACTATAAAGTCAAGATTTAAAGACATCCCATAGTGCTTATCTCACTGTATTTTCTAATTTTGACACGCGTTTACAATATTTTTAATACCTTTCACCTGCAAAATATTTCGAGGGCTCTGTACTGATCCACGAAGAGGTTTGTTTTGTTTTGTTTTCCACTTTCAGAATTCTGGTGAAGTTAGTGGTTTAGTTTCAATTAAATTCAAGCCTTTTGCCTTAATACATCACAAGAACAAATGGCAAGGATACTCTCTGGTCACTTACATTGTCACAAAAGAAAAAAAAACCCCGTCAGCTTGTTCACTATGTCTGAGTCAAGTAGTTGTTAGATCAGCTTGTCAGGGTTTTGAGTTCTGCCTGTTCATTCATTAGAGAATACTATACAACACCCAGTTTTACTAAAATTTCTGAAGTGTACAGGTCATGGGCAAAGAACTTGAATCGCACAAACAGCCGACTGTCTCTGTTTGCTTATTTTTAGTAACTTTATATAAAGACTTAGGACGGGTGGTTTCCCAACTCGATGTAGAATTTGACCACTGGGCGCAGGACTGAGCGCCCCACAGCTTCCGGCTGGAGTATAACACGCGCTTCCCTACTGGGCTCCCACGTCTGCTCCAAACAAACCCTATGTAATAGCTGAAGAATGACGACACTAAAATCAACCCTACAGATTCACATCTAAGAGGTCTGCAACACGTAATAAACTTTTGCTTATTTCTCGAGAGACAGCGGGGTGAAAAAACAGACCAGACAGGGTCAGCCTGATCAATTTCCGCGACTGGGGGCGCTCGGTGGGGGTCTGTGCAGCTTAACCGAGTGTGGGCCAAGGGGCTGCCTAACAGCGGTAACCCGGCGCTGCTCTCCAACCGGCAGGTGCCGGAGACCATCCCAACAGGCCCCAATGCGAGTGCGGGAACATGGCCACTGCCCCTGAGCGCGATCCCGCCACCGCACGCTGCCCGGCACTTTGTTAACTCGGCCGCCCGGGAGGAGGAGGCTTCCCGGGTCGCGGTCACCGCCGTCCGAACGCTGCAGAGCCCCGGCTGGAGAAGGCTTGGATCCTCCTCCGGTTCGTCCTCGCCCTGCCCCGGCGCGGAGGCTCGGCAGGAGGGAGAGGTCGCGAAGCAGCGAGGAACTACGGGCCCCCACGCCTACCCTCGCAGAGCCCCACGCCGGTGCTTACCTGGGGAAAAGAGCCCTCGCGGCGCGGGCTCTTGGGGTAGTCTAAGTGACCCCGGTCCAGCATCAGGTAGAGCGAGAAGATCACCACACAGAAGATCGCGCTGCCGAACACGGTGAACTGGCGGCTTAACTTCATTTTTCCTCGATAGACTCGGGGCCAAGACACTGTCCTCACCGAAGAAGGAAGCGGACTGTGGACTCCTGCAAGCGGCCGCCGGAGGCTCCCTGCTCCCGGGCTCCTGCTCTCTGCGCTTCTGGCTGTGGGTGCGGATCCCGACCGCGCTCCGCACCTTGCCTCCCGCGCCACCACACGCCCACGGCCTTCGCCCGGGCCCACCGCCCTCCCTGGGGTCGGGCGTCCCTCCTAAGGCGGGTCCCGCCTGCAGCCCGGAAGGGGCCCCCGCAAACTTGATCTCAAGCTCAGCGCCCGCACCCGGCAGGGTGCGCAAGGCAGGCAGAGAAGAGGTCGCTGTCCGGACTTCCTGCCACCGCCGCCCCGACCGAGTCAGCAGGAAAAGTTTTCTCGACGAGGGCAGGCGTGTCCCCCTCACCCAGGAGGTGCGGGATTAGCGGCTCTGGGGTCGACAGCACGGAGCTAGGTCCGAAAAGACTAGGGAAAAGGAACAGGGTCGGGAGGAGCCGGGCCCCACAACTCAGCGCCGGGACGGCCGGACCCGCCCCCGCGGCACCGCCCCCGCCAGAACGCCTTCCTGCTGCTGCCGGCGGGGCCGCCGTCGCCGCCGCCGCCGCCGCCGAGGCCAGGCCGGTGTGCACCCTGGGCGAGGGGACGAACGGATAAGGCAGGAGTTTCCTCCGAGCGCGCGTCCGCCCGCCGTCCTCTCCCGCCCCCCGGCGCCCCTTCCTCTCTCCTCCCGGACCCGGGCTGCGCGAGGAGGGCGCAGGGGGCGGGCGGCGGCGGCGCGCGGAGGAGGAAAAGGAGAGCAAGGAGAGGAGCGTCCCCGGAGAGAAGCCCGCTCCAGCTGCAGCCGCGAGTCCCCTTCCTCCTTCCCGCCCCGTAAATGCGGAGATGGCGGCGGCAGCTGCGAAAGGAAGCGCCGGTTCTCCAGCGCCACTCGGCGCTCCTACACCGCCCGCCACGAGCAAGAGGAAACAGCCGCGGCGAGGCGGCTGCTGGGTCAATAGGCGCCCGCAGCCCCGAAGCCTAACAGGCGGCTGGCCCCGCCCCCTCTCGACGCGCCGGGATGGGGGCGGGGCCTCCGGCGCCCAATCGCAGTGCGCCGTCCATCGGGCCCGCCCCGCGCCCGCCTTCCTGCACCCAGGCGGAGAGAAGACCTCAGACGGCTTTTGTGAACTGGCAGGCAACCTGGGTGGAGGTGAGGCCCTCAGAGGCCTTCAGGCGCCAGCAGCACCGGTTCTACAGGGGCTGAGCTTTCTCCCCACTTCCTTTTTACTGCCCAGCTTTCCTGTCCTTGAGGACCCGGGCCTGGCGTGCCTGGGACGGCAACTCGGTGAGGAGCTGTAGAGATAGAGGAGAAAGGGGCTTTGCGTTCTGCCCAGACTCATCTTTTTATGGCACGAGAACCAGGGAGCTTTTGGTGACCTCTTGGTGAAACCTGAGGTTAAGGAGACTGCCAAACGACAGCTGGCTACAGAGTCTCTGAGTGGACCCTAAGAAGTGATGCTTGTGCGGGTTATTTTCTATTGCCGCGCTGTTCCAAATCCGCCCTTTTTGACTGCTCTGTGAAAATGGATCTGAGCCCTTTTAAGTTAAGTTTTCCTTTGCCTGCAGCCTTTGAAGCTTTGTCAGTAGAGGGCGCTGAAGAGACATTACAGGAAGAAAAGGGATTTTCTTGCTGGTTTTGGTGTACGTGTAGGCAGGCACTTACAGCTTACCTGGCTTTCTCCACTGCCAAGCTCCAATAATGCTTGGAGGTCAGAAGTTTCCCCCTTCATCCCTAAGTCTAGTGCTTCTATGGTGGAGGCGCTAAGGTGAGCCACTACCCCATGAACATCTTTCCAGGCTCTTTAGAGACAAGCTTTGTAGTAAGATCCACAGGGCATATTTCTGCAGGTGTTTCTTCTCTGCCATTCAGTGAGAGGACTCTTACCTCTCCCATAAAGTCTGGAGGAGTTGGGGACCTTTCTTGGGGAACTCTAGTTACCAGCCCAGGGGCTAGTTATAAGGTTAGCTCCTTATAACTGCTATTTGTATATTCTCGAGGGTTGTCTTCCCACTAGTGAATCTCTCATTAATTCTCTGTTATAGTTTAAAATGGTTTTTGCTTAAGCCTTTTTATTTTTATTAAGCTTTACCTGTAACCCCAAGAGCTAGCTTTGGGAAGATGGGGTTAGGAATTTGGTTTGATTGGGCTTTTGGCCTGAGCTTAGCGCTGAACTCTTTGCCAAACGGAAATGAGATGCGAGTGATTCCTGGCACACAGAGCCTTCCAATTAATCAATTGCCTGTGGCTGATTGTGATTGAAGGACCAACAAGCATGTGCCTGGAGGGGGTGGTGCCCAAGTGACAGTGAAACTTAACTGTTACGGCTGTAAGGTGACTATAAGGATTGTGATGTGAGATGGATTCTTTTGAGTTCCTTTGAATACCTACAAAGAGGAATGACAAGCACAGATCAAAGTTATGGCACGAGAACCAAAGAGCTTGTGTAACAATTCTAAAAGAGGCTCTTATTATAGCAACAAAAACGGTGTTTCTGAAAATTGAACACAAAATTTTAATTTTGGGGTTACTGAATTACAACTTGCTTTGAATTCACAGATGTGCCAAGTTTCTCAAGTAAAAGTTCGGGTATTGATGATTAAATAATAGGGCTTCAAAACTCAGAATAGGTTGGACCCAGATGAAACTGGCAATCTTGAACCATTAAGTTATTCTGTGCCTCTCTTACCAATGTCAGTATGTTGCCCTCCAGTGTCTGAGGAGGTTGAAAACTTTGACAACCCCACCTTGGGACAATGCCTTGAGAGGGAATTCACATTCTCCTCACAACCCACCACAATCATCCTCTGTTGCCACTATACTCTTAACTAGGGTCAAATCTCAGCATGCTTCTGGGGGATAGGTGCACACTGTGGTGAAGGAAGAAATAAACACCAAAATTGATACATAGGCAGAAGAAGTAATTTACCTTGTTGATACTCTACCTATATTGATACACAGGTAGAGAATTGGAGAACATGTGTGGGAATGGCTTCTAAAGGTGTTAGACTACAGAGGATGGAGTAGAACACTATATTGAGCCAAATTTATTATTCTAGAGTTAATTATATGTTTCAACTTACACAGCTAGAGGTGATTCTAACAGTTCACTTGGTTGATTGATGGAAACTTGGACCCATTTTTTTAGTTTAAGGTGCCCAAGTTTCCCAGACACGTGGAAAGGGGAATCCAAAGATTTAGGAAAATGTTATTCTGGATTTACCATATACGACCTGCATACCTTTCCTCAACTGCATTCCATCAAAGGCCCAGAGACACTCCTTTCACTGAATAATTGAGAACTAAATTAGAGGAAGACATGTGTCTTTGAAAATCACTATAGATGTTCCCCTCTATAGGCCATGTATGACTACAGAGTATGCCACCAGTAAGATGGACTTTTTTATTTCACTGGAGATGACAGGACCTGAGAATAGCAGAGGACAAGCAGTGCTTAGGCACTAAATACGATGTGGGTACATTTGCCTTAAAGGGCAGCAGGTATGTACAGTCAGATGCCTTACCCCACAGAGATGCCCTAGGAAAAAAGTAGATAGCCAACCTAATTTTTACTGCTTGATATTTATAATAACAAAAGCTCTAGCCCGGGTAGGTAAAATCTAACTTTAGTCAGCAGAGTGGACAATCACAGCCTCTCATGCGGTATTCAGACCTAAACCAGTTCACAGACCAAGAACCCTTTGACTGAAGGAGAGTCTCCTTCAGGAAGGACCTTGCACAGATCACAGCAGTAGTACCAGTGATGGACCATCAGATCATGTTCAGATTTCTGCCATTATGGACAATGTCATAATAAACATCTATTTTTAATCCTTAAAAAAAGTAAAATATCTCAACATTTCATATTGCTTATATTTGGAAATGATATTTAGATATAATGGGTTAAATACATTATATAAAATACATAATTTTACCAATTCTTTAAAAAAAAAAAAAGAAAGAAAGACTTGTACCACTGCTACAATACCCATTTTAAATGTTCACCCAAGCCTTCCCCAAAGAGCTGTGAAGCCATCTACTAGAGTGACAATGTGCTGGAAAAAAATGAAATGTGTAGATCTTTTGAGGTTTACTAGACACCGGATCTGAACTGATGCTGATCCCTAAGAATACAAAATGCTACTTTTATGCTCCAACCACAGTTAATCTTGGTCAGTACTTAGATAAGTTTTAGCTCATGTTGGTTCTTTTAGTTCATTTGGTCCACACATGAACTTTGTAGTTATTTTCTCCATTCTAAAACTAACAGTATCCCCAAATAGGCTTTGTAACCCATGAGGTGGAGGCCATTATAGCAGTAAGGAGCCATGTGGGATGCTCCTGGAACTTTCACTGCCTTCCAAAATCTTAAACCAGAAACAATACCACCAGAAAGGACTTGGAAGAAGCAGGGGTGGTGATACCTATCACATTCCCATTTAACTCACCAGTTTGGCCACTGCATAAGTCACATGGATCTTGAAAAATGTGGATTACTGTGGACTTAACCAGGAGGTAATTCCGGCTGGGGTTGCCGTTCCAAGCGCAGTATTTTTGCTGGAACAAATTAACACAGTCCCTGCTGCTTGTTATACAGCTACTGATTTAGCTAATGCCATCTTCTCTATACTTATTTATAAAAATGAGCAGTAGTTGGCTATTACTTAACAGAGCCAATAGTATACGTTCACATTGTTAGTGCAGGGACACATCAATTCTCCTTAATATAGTCTACAGAAATGTTGATCATCTTGACATTCCACAAAACATCACACTGGTTCATTTTGGTTGTTCATTATGACAACATTATGCTAATTGGACCTGATGAACTGGAAGTAGCAGATATTTCAGATGCCTTAGTAAGATATATTTGAACTAGAGCTCAGAAGAAAACCATGAGTATGAGATGATAACTCTAAAGAGGTCCTGGCAGGTCCCCACCTTTAGGGTGGGACAAGTTCTGGGACTGTATAAGCTATACAAAACAAAACAAACAAAAAACCACTGAGAAGTGAATCCAAGCAAGTGATGTGGGTTAGAAATGATGTGGATTGGAAAAAAGAATAAAGTGATTGCTGCAGAGACTGGTCATACCAATCATGTGGCTATGGAAGGAAATGAACAGCCCAGCTAGTAGGAGAGGAACACTCTAAACCCTGAGTCAGGAATTGGGGAAGGAATCATTAAGCCTCTCTTGGCTCTCACTTAGAGGACACCTGTCCTGGCCTATCATCTCAGAATGCCTTTGTAACCTTGAATACCCATTCTTAACTTAAATCCTAGACTCCTAGATGTAAGGACTTAGATCCTTAGTTTTTAGACCTTAAACTAAGGACTGTTGCTCCTTCAGGTGGATGACTTCTACCTGAAATGACAGAACAAGATTAATTTTCTGGATATTAATGTGGTTCACCCCTAGCCTGGTATTCTCGTCAGTCCCCTATGGTCTCTCCTTCTTGTCTAAGAAAAAAAGTTCTCTTGTATGCTTTCTCCAGACCAAAGCCACTGCTGAATTTCACTGATTGCTGGATCTCTCATTCCCTCTGGACCCTACTGAAAAAATCTTAAAAGCTTTTCCTTCAGACACTGAAGAATTAAACCTTGATCCCTACGTCAGCAAAATGCCATTGCCGAAGTCACTAGAAACTTCTGTAATAGAATCTAGTTCACCAGGAACAGTCTGTACCAAAGGGCTAGGCTGATTGGCTCTTATAGCCAGATTGTCCTCTTCAGAAGCAGCACTGTAGCCTACTTTGCAGGAAATTATTTAGCTCTAATCAAGGAATTTGTCCACTGTAAGGGACACAAAACTGACCCACCCTTGTTGTCATAAATGACACTTAAACTCCTAATAGCAGAGTACATATGTGGGCATCAGACCTATACTTGCCTGACAAACATAAACCAGTGTAAAATCTCTAATGCAAGTGATTATAGACAATCATGTTGCCCTAGACCTCCCGCTGGCCAGTCAAGGGAGAATATACTCAAATGCTAACACCTATTACTGCTCTTAGATTAATGAATCAGGAAAGGTGGAACAATTATCTTCTACCTTAGAGAGAAAGCAGTGTGGCTTTCTCAGGTCGGTCTCAACAACACCTGAGACATACTTAGCTGTGTTGGCTCTGGATTGGGAGCCTTTTTACAATTTATCCTTCAAGTTAGCCTGACCATCTTGCTAGGCGTCATGGTCATGGTCACTTTCATCTGCTGTGGCCTAAGATGAATGGAAAATATTTGGTCCAAGCCCCTACAATCAATCAGTACAGTTAGTTAGGTAATCTCACAGGTGTCCTAAACTGAAAATAATTCTTACTTCAATATATGAGAGGTCAGAGGTAGAGTTTTGGGGGTACAGCCTCATCACAGGTAACCCACACCAAGTTACCTGATCTTCCATGTGTCTATGTAAGCCAGACAGGCATATCTGATCAGTCTTGGTGGAATGCCCTGCAATACCTCCATGACCAAGGAGAGAGAAGCTTCCTGTGAGCAACAGACTTCTATCAAACCATTTCTCATTAAGCTCCCTAGTTTCAGTAGAGCATAGGACTTTCCATCTTACTCCACCGGACCTCAATTATAGCTTCAAGCTTCTGTGTAAGTCTAGAAACTGTTGGGCTATAGTTTAGATGGCTTCTCAGGAACAGCTCAATCCATCTCTCCTGTCTCTCTCATTAGGTCCTTCGAGTTCAATATTGTCCTGTGGGACTAGAGCTATAGGGAGGTGACACCGTGCTGATATTGTTTTTATTTATTTATTTATTTTTAATTTATTTGACAGATCACAAGTAGGCAGAGGCAGGCAGAGAGAGAGGGGGAAGCAGGCTCCCCACCGAGCAGAGAGCCCAATGCGGGGCTCGATCCTAGGACCCTGGGATCATGACCTGAGCTGAAGGCCGAAGCTTAACCCACTGAGCCACCCCTGATACTGTTTTTAGTGTGTATGTAATAAGTTACATTAATCCAGTTGAGCATATTGTCATCTTATTGACTGAATCTCTGGAAGTGTGGCAAGCCAACCTAGTAGCTTCAGTAGTGATCCTTGTGGCTCTGTTAGCTACAACACTACAGCTTACAGACTATTCAACCACTTGTTAGAAGGGTAGTATTTTCCTAAACTGAAGAGTGAATAAAGCTGTTCTAATTTTCATGCAGAAAAACAGGGTGAGCAGAATCAAGACTTTGGCATATTAGGACAACCAAAGCCTACAGGGTTAGAACAAGTGGAGAGAGAGATTGAAGACAGAGGAAAAAGAGTTAAGTGAAAGATCAAGGTAGTAGAGAAGAAGGTACAGTGATGGGGACCAATAGCTCTGGAAGAGAGAATCACTCTGGACAGGAAGAAGACCCCCTCCCCAGTCCCTCTGAGGCCAAAGAAATCAGCCTTCTCCCTGTTCTTTCCTATCATAGAGCTCCTGTGGTCTTCTGGTCTCTTACCAGGTCTCCTGACTAATCTTATCCTACTGTTACCACTTTTTCAATGCTCTATGTTCTAGGTGTGTGAAAATGTCAGCCACATGTTCTTGCCTAAAATCCATCAGTAGTTTCCCAGCACTTTCAGATCTAATTCAAATCACAGTAGTATGAACCCTAAGTTTCTTCACATTCTGATCTCTGCCTTTCTATCCAACCTATCCTCCCACCCCCGCACTTTCACACACAGTCCTCATGCTAGTCATGCTGAACAACTTGCTTTCTTCCTGTTGAGACAAAAAGACAGGGCCACTGCGTATGATTGTACAGACCATGCATAGACCATCCCTAAGAGGTTCTGTGTATATCGCTTATATTGTCAATTTGCATAGTTACTAGAATTATCTTCTGGAAGATGGCAGTAGAGTATCTTATTCTAATGAGATTAATATAATATTAATTAAATATTATATGTTTAATTAATATATAATATATTAATTAATTAATATTAATTAAAAAGACAATTTTGTGATATAGGGAAATAAAATACCTTGAAGAAAGACCCAATTTTATAACAACTTGAGCAAAGGTGTACCTCAGTTCCTTGTCTTTATGTTTAGAATACTTTTCAGCAACCTTGTCCATCAGCAAAATTCTACTCATTCTACACAAAGAAGCTCAAACACTATCTCTATCTCTTCAAATATTACCAGGTATTTGTAATAACTATTTACTTCATGGTCTAGAAGTATTTGTGTTCTTATCTCTTCTCTGAAATATCTAGTTTTGTGGGATTTTTTAAGAAGATTTTATTTATTTCAGAGCACGCAAGCAATCAGGGAGGGATGGAGTGAGAGTGAGAGAGAATCCCAAGCAGACTCCCAGCTGAGTGCAGAGCCCAACATGGGACTCTGACTCACAGCCCTGAGACCATGACCTAAGCAGAAATCAAGAGTCAGATGCTCAGTTGACTGAGTCACCCAGGTGCCCCTAATGTTGTGTTTTTAATGTTTGTCTTTATTCATTTTAACTTGAATGAGCACATGAGGTGTTCTGGATCAGAGGCAGATTCCTTACTACCCCCAGAGTAAATAAGAACGGCATGCTCCACTCTCCCGCTTGCTCTAGGTCTTATCCTTGGGGCGATATTATGAAATCCAATGAAATTTTTTCTATATGAGTGGCCAGATACTCTCTAAACAAGGGACAAGAAGTGATTTTTCTTTATAAAGATAAAGGATGCAAGTGTTCCTCCTCATCTCCTAAAAGGTTCTCCTTTTTACTCCAGATAATTCCAAGCTCTAGGGTCTCATTCCCAGCTGGAATTTAAATAATTGTAAGGATAACACTCCAGTCTCCCTAACACCTTCAGTGGAATTAACGTAGATGCCTATCCCAGGATATAATATTTTGCTTTGGGGAAGATAAGAGTTTTATTCGCTCTTTGAATCAGAACAATTAGCTCTGTCATTAGGGAAACAAACAGCTAATCTTTATGAGATGAGAAAATGTATCTAGGAAAGGTAAAAGCAAACATTCTCTTTAGTGCACATGTGTCTATGGCTTAGGAGGCTGGAACTTTTTACACAAACACTTAAAAAAACAACTAAGTTTTATTTTACCTTATCTGGAAGCTGCGTGGGGGCAGGGCCCATATCATAAAGATTCAATCTGCTTCCTTCTCCAGGACACATAGCTTTTGTGACTTTGGAAAAGTTATATGATATCTGCAAAGCTCCATTTTCCAACATGCCACATTGGGATAGTGATGTCTATTTTTTATCATTTCCTGGAGGATTACAAGAAGTAACAAATGACATGTTAGGAAAACATTCCCCAGATACCTTCCATTTTCTCTGGAAAAAGGGAAGAACAGTCCCATGAATAAGTGAGTAGAACAGAGAACATTCGAAATAACCACTACGGGAAGTGGATAATGGAGTCCCCATGGATAATGTGGACAGCATTGATATGTCATGGAGCAAGTCTGCAATCTTCTTTCCCTGTTATTGATCCATGGGTTGAGAGCCCAAAGAAAGTCGACTGTGAGGATGATCCAGCAAGAGTCGTTTGCATCACAATGCAAGAACAATGTCCATGTGAGGAGTGCTCAGGGTAGGAACATACACTATTTCTTTACCTACATAAATATATGTTCACACCTGAGGTTTGTTAAAATGGACAATCAATGTAATCTTGAATAGGAATAGAGAGGCTGGGGTGAGATTTCTGGAAGTTATGAGGTCTAGCTCCAGTCTTCTGATGATGAGAGGGCCTATGGCTATACAAGAGTCTCGGGTTATATTTGGTAAAACTGGAAAAGTTATCTCTTCCCCTGCCAGCTGCTATTCTAAGTCTGACTGAACATCATATCTAAGATTAAGATTTGGAAGGGGTTAAGAACTTAAGAAAATTTTATAATTACAATTGCATAAAACTATAAAGGATAGAGGGTTCAGTCATTTTATCTCCTCCCCATCTGGAAAATCAATCTTCCAAGGGCCAAGAGCACCTCTACACATTATTAGTGTATGTCAAGAATGCAAGACTCCTGACAACTCTTGACTTGGGTCAGCTTCAGGATTGGGTTTGCAGTGAACAACCTTGAGCAAGTAAGCCGTATCTTCTCCCAGACAAAGAGCCAGCTTAGTTACCAAACACTATAAAAGCTGTAAATTCTCCAAGTTTGGTATTCCTTGGCCTGTAACAGAAATCCACTTTGTGTATGGCAGCCATCTGGATCCCTTCCTTTAGGCCCTCTGGGATTTGGGAGACATGAGAAACTAACACCATCATCATGCTCATGCTGCTTTGACATGCTTTTTTGTCTCTAATGCAGGCATCTTGTGTTTTCTTCTGGCATCTATGAAAGAGTGACAGGCCCCAGACCCACCACAGATACTGAAACTACTTGCCTGCCTAAGAGAATCATGACATTGTTGGAATGATCTTCACCACCCTATGCTTTCCCTTCCATGAAAGGAAGCTGAGAGACAGGATGAGTCCAGTAATGTAATTAACTTCTGAGAAGGTAAGGGAAAGAGAGCTAAAGGAAGAGTGCTTTTTCTTCATAATGTTTCCTCACTATTTGAAATTATTTATTGACTTACTTTATGTCTGTCCCTTCTAGTAGAATGCAAGCTCCTGAAAGTTGGGGACCTTTTGATTTATCACTGTATCTTAATGAATAAAGTCTTGTCTAGCAATGTCAAGGCTTAATAAATATTCATTGAATGAATTAATGATTATTTGGGCCTTGAGTTACTAGTTGGGGTGAATTGGTAGCACTCAAAATGGATTACTCTGGCTCATAATAGAAGTCTGTTTGCTCTCGAATGGCATTTAAAGCTATTTCTCTTGTCTTTGTGAATCAGCACTGAATCTTTATGTTCCTATAAGGGTGTGGGTTTTGGTTTTTTTTTTAAGATTTTATTTATTTATTTGTCAGAGAGAGAGAGAGAGAGTGAGCACAGGCAGACAGAGTGGCAGAGGGAGAAGCAGACTCCCTGCGGAGCAAGGAGCCTGATGCGGGACTCGATCCCAGGACGCTGGGATCATGACCTGAGCCGAAGGCAGCTGCCTAACAAACTGAGCCACCCATTTATTTATTTTTTTTTTTTTTACCAAGTCCTTTAAAGAGAATTTCCCCCAAATTATTTTACTAATTATCTTCATTACTAAAGGAAGTCCAATATGGGGATAGAAAGAAATTATCTCTATATATTGAATGACTAGTATATGTTCGGTGCTTTACCTGTACTGCCTCATTTAATTCTTACAACTCCGTAAGCTTAGTATATTAATATCTATTTTATTTAGAAAGGATGTAGACACAGAGAAGTTAGACAACTTGCTTTAAGGGTACATAGATACTAAATGGTATAGCTTATTTTTTCTGGCTTCAAACTTTTAAGTACTGCATTTTACAGAGTTATGATACTTTATACCTTGTAAATAGATTTTCTAAAATTAACATTTTGGATGTCTATCTGTCAGGTAAACAATGTGTAAACAAATAGAAACAATTTTAAGTATTTTCGTGAAGGAAGGTATTTAATAGAGGGTGCTTACAAAAATGAATGGACAGGATTGGAGAAGCAAGTGACAGACAGTGATTCCAGTTCAATACAGAGTTGACCTATCAGCAGAGCTGTGACTGCTGAGGACTTTTGGAATACGAGTGCTAATAACATAAGCCTGCGATAGCAGGCAGAGCCAGAAAGCTACTGCTGTCCCAACTGCTTATTGTCTTTCAGGGGGCTGAGTAATGGGTCATGAACACTGCTTCAGAAAAATGTTTGAGTGACTTTAATTATTAGGGAAATATAGCCAAAAGTGGTCACAGAGATGCCCCAAATTCTCTTATGTTTTCTAGATCTTGCATGAATGTATCTAATTGCAGACCTAATTCATATCCATAGCTCTAGGTGCAAAGAAGTCTAGAAACAGTTGTAAGCTTCCATTCTCTGCATTATGAAAGATGCCATAAGAGGAGGGTGGAACCGACATTAAGTGAGCCAACCTGCAACATTTACCATGGGCAGTGTTGGGAGAAATACAGACACAAATACATATAGGAAATACACAGAATTGGTGAAGATGTTTAAAACTGACTCTGTCCAGGAAAACCTATAATAGTAATTATTTATTTGAATGCCAAACTCCTGACATTAAAATCTTTATGGTTATGATTTGTCTTGGGGAAAATATATGCACATAATTACTAAGGCCAATAAGATATCTAAATATGCATATATCAGAGAAGAGAAAATTATTTGTCGTGTAGGATCATCACTTTCATTTTTTTTAATAGTCCTTTGTTTGTTAACACTATTATTGGCATGATTTTTGGGAAGAGGAGGCTTATTTCCAGCAGGCCCCAGGTCTTTCTTTGGATTCTCTTTGTCTCTGGTTTCTCATATGCCAACAAAGCACTCAAATAGGAAAGGCTTAACAGTTTAGTACTCTAAAGCTTCAAAGACACTTAGCACATGCACACATTTTACATGGAGGCCCCAGGGAAGCAGAAAGGTTTGCCTGAGATCTCATGAAGGCTGGATTCGAAGCCAAGTTCTCTGGCTCCCTGTCCAAAACTTTCCTCATCACAACAGAATCAAGCCATGGATTGTATGCCTCCTAAATAGAGAATGATATTGTGTATGTATATACGTGTGTGTGTGTGTGTGAGGGAGGGAGAGAGAGAGAGAGAGTTCAATAATGGGCAAAACAGCTATATTTTTCGGGAGACATACTTACATGTTAAGCATGAAACAAAGTGAAGAAATGTTAACCATCAAAGTCTGGTTAGCAGGGGAAGTAGAGAGTTGTTACTAGTAAAAGGTATGTGGGAAGTTGTGGGGTGATGGCAATGTCTCAGGAGACTCAGTTTCATAATTTTGTTAATTTTGAAATGCAGTGAAATGTATTTGACTTTCTCATCTTCAGTAACACTTTGTTTTAGTAGAGCCAGGTTAGGTACTTTTCATGGATGATTTCCTTTAACTCTCTCTAGAACACTCTCGTAGACGCACTGTCATGATCCCCATTTCATAGATGAGCAAACTGAGATACAGTCTTCACTAACCTGTCCAGATCCACACAGTGAGATAGCAGAGCTGGTATTTGATTCACATGGCTGCAGCGTCATCTGCTTAACCATTCTTCTATGCTAGCCACCAGAAACTGAGTAAATTACAGACATTTCTTTTTATTATTATTTTACAATCACAAAAGTTATAGTTATGATAACCATGTTAATAAGAGAAAAAAGGAGCATGCAAAATTTATAAACACACACACAGTGATTACATCTGTTTGAAAAATACGTGTGCATAGGTATAAAAGACCAGAATGTACAATACCGATAAGTTAGGATGGTGAAAATGTGGGTACTTTGTCCTCCCTCTTCTCTGTTTTCCAAATTTATTTTAAAGTGGCCATATGAAATTTACAGGGGTAAAATGTGCTATAAAATAAATTTCCCTTTTACCTGAAACATAAAATTTCATTTCCACACCCTTCCTTCCTACAGCTTTGTATAATCTTTAGAAGCCTCTTCTACTCAATGAGTGACTTCATTACTAAATTGATGGCACCAGATCATTCTAGCTATGCAAATCACAAACCCACAACCAGCTGAGGAAAAGGCAGATAAAAGATTACATTAAAAATTAAAGCTACGTGTGGAGATGTGGAGATAATGTGCTTACGATTATTTCTACATAGTTAATATTTATGCAATTACAAAGCCAGTCATAACAAATCTTAAATCTTGAGTCCTATTCCTTTTGCCCTCTGATATTTTTGACCTTGAACTGAGACTGCCAAATAATATATAAAAAATGGCTGTGGGAGAAGCATTTCCTTTGGCCTATAAATGATAAATGCCTTTTTCTTAGAAAGTGATCTCATTTCTTCCTTGCCTTTGTTTATTTTCAGTGCGTTGTATTTTTTTACTCTGTTACATTCTGATCACCCTTGAAAGCGCTGGGCTTTCAGTCTTCCACAGTTTGGTTGTGTTGTTTTCTGGTGGTGCTGCTGTGATGTGTTTTCTGTCAGAGGAAATTTACAGGCACATTAGCCTACTTGACAGGCACAATGAGCCACAAGGCTCCCCTAAGGAGAAACTTCCATGTGCTGTGGTGAGGTTTTCTCTGTCTCTCCATCCCACCCTCCCTCTTACACTTTAATACCCAACCATGATTCAGACACAAATCCCAACCACTTTGGTTTATAGAATTACCTTGGAGCCTGGATTTAACTCTCTGGTTCCTGGTAACAGCGTTACTTCAGTTCTGCATTAATTAATTCATATTTTTGCAGTAATCTGGCTACAGTAGTGGTTTGTGGATAAAATCAATGTCTTCCCTTACAGTTATACAGATACCAAGTAAGAAATGGATGGGAACCTTTTTTTTTCCCCCCATGATGAGTCATTGACACAAAGTGGGGAAAATAACATGCAAGAACTACACAAATGAAAAACAATATAATTAAATTTTATGGAGGGTGTTTAGAGAGAAAATTCTGAAACAATTTTCTCAGTGTGTCATAGAAAAATGGTCAAAAAGAATCAATAAAACTTATTAAAAATTCAAAAACATAAAATGAGACATAACTGAAAGGGTAAACTGTTTTCGTGGCAGATTCCAAATATATTAGAGCATTTCCCTACAGCTATTGGAAAGTGGCAGGCCTGTGCATTTTCAGTTTCATGTATATTATGTTGCCCCTAGGGGAGTAAATTTCTTAAGACATAGCAGTTCTGGTATATTCAGACCCTGACTTGATGTTAAGCTATCTCTTCAATTTAACATCTTCCAGGCCTTTTTATTAATTTTTGAAGGGTGATTTTATTTTGAGATCATTCCTTTTGTCCTTGATATGTTTGGAATGTAAGCATGTAACCATGTAACCTATAGAGATTATTTAGAACAGTCTATGGCGTGCCTAGCAGGTTTTGTCAGAAGAGTGTGTGGTTCTTGATCTTGGGGTCATGAGTTAGAGACCCATGTTGGGGTGTAGAAATTATTTAAGCAGATAAACTATTTTAAAAAGGTTACTTATAACAGTCTAAAGTCGCATGTAAATTTCTTGCTTGATTTTCTGCTAAGAAGCAGAGAGGTATTTGCCAATCTAATCCATAATATTGGTCTGAGCTACTATATTTGTTTATAGAACTTGAATAATAAATGAATGAAACATGCATTATCTGGAAAGTAAGAATAGTTGGCTTCCTGGTGGACTAACTCTTCAGAGAACTAATGAGGAACATTCTTAGTTGGCCTTTATGTTACTTCAGCTGCTCTAACAAAATACCACAGACTAGGTCACTTATAAACTACAGAAATTAATGGCTCACATTCCAGCAGGTTGGAAATCTCAGATCAAGTTGCCGTCAAGGTTGGGTGAGGGTCCTCTTCCAGGTTGCAGACTTCTTACTGTGTCTTTGTCTTTACATGGTAGAAGGAGCAAGGGGGATCTCTTTTATAAGAACACTAATCCCATTCGTGAGGGCTGTACCCTCATGACCTAACACCTCCCAAGGGCCCTACCTGCTATTATCATCACTTTTAAGGCTTAGGATTTCAACATATGAATTATGGGGAGACACTAACATTCAGGCCATAGTAGGCTCCCTTCCCCTTTCTCTCTTTCTTTGAGACGTACGCTCTAAATTGTTTCAGAATAGCCAACTGCTATTGTTCTACTA